CTAAGTTCACCGACATGTGTCTGTGCTCAGATTTCATGCCAATTTGGGGTGTTCTTTGTGGTGTCAATGTATTGTCCTCCCTCGACGGAGATTGGACCCTACATAGAACAGTTAGGGCGCATCTGGAGGGGACTTCGGGGTAGCAGGATATTAGTGAGTATGGATACCAACGCACGCTCTCCGTTGTGGCAGAGCGGGGTAACGGATGAGAGAGGCCATGTGCTGGAGGACTTCTTGACCATGTCTGGGTAGTTCGTGATAAATGAGGATGGAAATTGCCATACCTTCACGTCCACCAATGGGGTCAGTAACATTGACGTAACTCTCTCCAGTCCTAGTCTCTATTCGACTATTAGTCATTGGCGGATTGAAGTGGGATGGACTAATAGTGACCACAGAGTTTTGGTCATAAAGTTGAGAAGTGGCGAATGTTGTCGCCTTATTAAGGAGGTAAGATTCAACACTAGAAAGGCAAACTGGAAGGTTTTTTGAGAGAAGTTCCTTGAGGATGTGGGTCGCCTGACATGGTCGATTTCTGATACAGGACAGGTCGAGGTCAGGGCTTCACAGATAGTTAAGGCAATCTGCGACGCAGATAACATGGCCATTCCCAAGAAAAAGGTGTTCGGGAAATCAGTCCCCTGGTGGAATGAGAGACTCACCAAACTGAAACGAGAGGTAAATAGGGCAAGGAGAAGTTTCCAGAGGCAGAGAGATGACGTGGCAAGATTGGATCTGAGACACGAATATATGCGACTTAGAAGAATCTACACCACTGAGGTTATTCGTGCCAAAGGTAAGAGCTGGAAGGAGTTTGTGACTAAGGAAGGTAACCATGAGGCATATGGCATTGTGTATAAAATTATGACGAAAAGAATTACTGCTGATGAGGTCTTAAACGGTATAAACAGCGGTACGGGCTTAACAGGAAACTGTTGTGAAACAGCTAAAGCTCTCCTGGATGTTTTGATTCCAGATTGTGTTCCCGTAGTGGATATGGGGGCACTATTGGGTGAGTCCATTGAAACGGATGATGGGCAGGAAGCGAGTCTGTGGACGGTAGATGAAGTGAGGGAGGTGAAACGTGCACTCCCGAGTCGGAAGGCTCCGGGGGTGGACCTGATTGAGACTCAGATGATCAGGCGCCTGGGTGGCGAAGCGATTTTCGTGGAACTACTTAGGAGTCTGTTCAATGGCTGTCTCCGGTTTGATATATTTCCGGCTGTATGGAAACAAGGACTTATCAGGGTTCTTCTTAAGTCTAAGGACAAAGATCCTAGTAACCCAAAATCTTATAGACCGATATGCTTGCTTCCATTTTTGGGCAAGCTCCTTGAGAAGCTCATAAAACTGAGATTGGAACGGTATCTTTGGGACCCGGTCTACTCTTCGTCAAGACAGTTCGGTTACAGGCCTAATCGTTCAACGGTAGATGCTGTGTTGGAAGTTAGACGGGCGATTGCTGTAGCAGAGGAAAAGTACGTCGTGGCCATCTTATATGATGCCACGGCGGCCTTTGATAACCTCTGGTAG